TTCTACGTACGTCGTCCGTCCTCGTCGTGTGTGTGTGTGTGTGTGTGTGTGTGTGTGTGTGTGTGTGTGTGTGTGTGTGTGTGTGTGTGTGTGTGTGGGCGTGGTGGATGGGAGGTGAGCGTAGAGAGCGGGCGCAAAGTTTGCCATCTGTCGATGCCTGTTGATACCCAAAGATTGGCCGTGTCCCGAGCCCTTCGGGGCTCCTTCATCTACCCCGAGGGACTGATATGCAGGAGCTGGAGGTGGTGTGGGGAGGCAGGCAGGGTGGGACGTCACTGGCAGGATCAGCCCAGAGGCCCGTTGTTCGCCGTCCACTGGTATAGTGGCAGCAAGGCGCCTGCGGGCCGGTTGGCACCGTCTATTGGGCCCGCGGCTCCGTTCCGTTGACGACCGAGCTTTGACGGCATAAGCACCTGCATCGCATCGCGCCCGAGTTCCCAAAAGGTGAGTTGGGCGCTGTGACAAGGTCGAGGGCTGAGAAATACATCAAAGCTGGTGGTAGTGGCGGCCGCATCATGTAGGCACCGCCTGTCCATCAAGAACCCCGTCGCTATGAAGCCACAGACATCCAACACACCGTACTGGCGCCCGGTACCTACCTCTAGGTACCTAGGGACATCCCTTGTCTCCTACCATGGGTATGGCGTCGGCACCTTTATCCGAATGAGGTATGGAGTCATGGCCAGCCGTGCAATTGCGGCAGCCACCTGTCTGGTTGCCGATGGTCCAGTGTATGTTTTTTTCGCGCTTGGAATTGAGTGTCCGTCGTCCATACCAGGCTTGGCCTTCATCCATCAAGGTGTCTCGGTTGTAGTCGCTGATGGACAACGATCAATTCCAGGGGACAAACTGGAGTTCTGGGACTGGAGTTCTGGGGGAGGAGGGAATAAGTGGGTCTGGTCCACAATGACGGGCCCACAGCTCTCTAGCCGAACAAGCCGAGGTCCACGAGCAGCAGACGCGTTGCTCAGCCCCATCACGAGCTCACATGGGCTTCATTCATTGTGTTGACGTCTGTCCATCGACTAAGCTTCTCAACCTCGAACAACATCGACAACACAAGATTAACGAGAACATCGAGGCACACAGCAATAACGCGTGGGACTGCCCCAGCGACCGCTTGCGACACGTACGAGACTGCTTCTTCCCTCGGCTGATACCCAGACAGCCGACTCACACAACACGGGAAGCCAGACCGATTACCTATCCCGACTGACGGCCAACACACCACTCGACTATTGGGTCCAGCTGTTCCGACGCCGGCCTTCGTCACCTCGCATCCATCTCACAGGCCGCCTGTGAAATATCTCACTCCATCCGTTGAGCCAAATCCAAAATGCCGTTTGACACAGAGCTTACCAGACGGCTTGGGATAAGGGGTGAGCGCCCTAGCGTCCCAACAATGCCGGCGCCGATACGTTGTGCCTTGGTTGGCTCTATGCTGACGGCTATTTTGTAAAACCAGTCCCGGTCGTACAGGGCGGCATGATGCATGTTGGTAGGACTGACCTTTCTTTTGTTTTGCTTTGTTTTGCTTCTTTTCTCGCAGTCTCCTCCCATGAGATGTCAAGAGCAAGCCAAGGGTTGCATGAGGTAGTGCGGGCCAAAAAGGATACGCGCGCGCACACACATGCATGAGTACCCTTTTGGAATGGCGCCAAGGGCGTCCAGGCGCCTGCCCAGGTGTCAATTGGCTTTCGGGTTGGCGGATGGCTACCTCTCATGCGCGGCATTCATACCTGATGAGCGGCAAGTCGCCACCGGCCATGTCGCCGTCCATGCCGCTCTCACCACTCGGGGGGTTGGATGCGCCTCTCTTGGAATGAAATGTGGCTAACCTAGTGGGCGGCCACCTCTGTCGCGCTCGCCTCCGGTTCAGGTTACGCCTCTCTCGCATCCGCCGTGTCCAACGCTGGCGGCCTGGGCCTCATCACAGCGCTCATCTTCCCGACGCCCGAGGAGTTGCGCCAGGAGATTCGCAAGTGCAGGACCCTGACGCAGAACCCCTTCGGTGTCAATCTGACGCTGCTGCCGTCCATGGTGCCCCCTGACTACCCGGCCTACGTGCGTGTGGTCGTTGAGGAGGGCATCAAGGTTGTCGAGACTGCCGGCAACAGCCCGGGTCCCGTCATTGCCGCGCTCAAGAAATCTGGCATCATTGTGCTGCACAAATGCACCACCATCCGCCATGCCGAGAGCGCCATCAAGATGGGCGTCGATTTTCTGTCTATTGACGGCTTTGAGTGCGCCGGGTAAGTCAATATCCGTGTTACCTTTGTGTCCCATTTTTGCTCTACTACCTTCCGCCCATGGCCCTCCTGTCCTGCTTCTCTTCGCCTCCCCGTGTCAGACGGGTGTGTGCATGATTTTGAAGCGACGTGTCGCAAAGAAACACAAATGTTCAAGAACAGCCTAGACTACGGCGTAGGGTCTTGCGGAATCTTGCCGCCGCCGCTAGACTGCTGCCCAACGGACTCACTGCCTCTTATCCCGGGAATCCAGCAACCCTTCCGTCTCTCCATCTCCCCATTAACTGGCCTGTTGTCATGCGGTCTCCGCTACGCTACTGCTGGAAGCCGCTGTCCATCCCTGATTTCTTCTTTGCCACCTGCTCTCGCGCCGCCGGCTGTCCGTCCTTCGCTGTCAAACCAACCAACCACCTGGTAGTCCGGTCGTCATGATCTCCTTTTGCTAATCATGAGGCGCAACCACCCGTCCAACTAGGCACGTGGGCGAGTCGGACATTACGAACTTCATTCTGCTTAGTCGGGCGCGACAGTCGCTCAAGGTGCCCTTCATCGCGTCGGGCGGCTTCGCCGACGGGCAAGGCCTAGCCGCAGCGCTCTGCCTAGGCGCTTGCGGAATCAACATGGGCACCCGATTCATGTGCACCGTCGAGGCCCCCATCCACGAAAACATCAAGCAGGAGATTGTGCGGGCCAGCGAGATGGACACGGCCCTTGTCCTCCGGCGCTGGCGCAACACCACCCGCCTCTACCGCAACAGGGTGACCGAGGAGGCCATCAAAGTCGAGCGCGAGAGCACGACGGGCGAGTTCTCCGAGATCGCACCCTTCGTCAGCGGTGCCCGGGGCAAACAAGTCTTCATCAACGGCGACCCCCAGTACGGCGTTTGGACGGCCGGCCAAGTCATTGGCCTGATCCACGACATCCCGACGTGCGCAGACCTCGTTTCGAGGATCGAGCGTGAGGCCGAGCAGTCGCTTCGTGAGAAACTGTCGCTGCTCAAGCCGGAGAGCAAGTTGTAGAAACGGCCGGTCCGTTATGGAGTATATCTAAGATGTAGATTTTTTTTGGGGGGTTTTTGTTTGTCGAGCCCTAGACTCGCTTTGGATTTTTAGATGCAACTCTGTCCATTTTCCTCTCGAGTTCTTGGTCGTTGAGGCGCCATCAGGGTCTCGATGATGATCTCCACAGCAGCATTTCGCTTACATGACCCTATTCTTCCAATTTTTCTTCACCAATCCATTTGGGATTGCGTATGCAGCGTTGAGGCAGGGCCTTGAGTATCAACCTTGTCCCTGCGAAGGGTTTTCGCTGATCATTTGACGTCCGAATTGAAAGACTTGGCGGTGATGCAGGCGCCTCAGCCTCCATCAACGTCGACTCATGATGCAGCCAGGACTGAAATCGTGCAGGTGGGCTTTCTGCTCCTTACCAGGGGCGTGGTCAGTGCGTTTTCCACGTTCACTGCAGACCAGCACGTGGGCCCCCAGGGGGTGCGAATTGCAACCACCAACAGAATGGTCCGTCTACGCGCACGCGCCCCGGAGCTTCGGATGACGACATGACATGCGCCCTCAATTGACAAAGCATTGAGCCTCAACCTCAGCTCGAACAAAAGAGAGCATCGTGGATAACACACCAGGATGAAATAGCCTCCTTTCCAGGTTATAGCCACCTCCGCTGCCTACCTGCCCGTTATGACCACCCAACAGGACGTGCAAGAGCTGCTGCGCCTGCTCGTCGGCGCCAGGAAGCTGCCCATGCTCCAAGCAATGTCCCACGTCAAGGCTTTGCAGACGGTCGGGCTCAAGAGCATCCAGCAGGTCGCCGAGGCTCCGCTCCCCGATGTGGAGCGAGCCGTTCCGGACGCAAAGGCCGCCCGGTCGCTGCACAACGCGTGCAAAGCCGCCGTCAAGCGGGGCGACGCTGGTGCCGGGGGAGCCGACGCGGCAGGCGGCAAGCGCCCGGCTTCTGGGGCCGGCGGCGGGGGCGGTGTGAGCAGCAAGCGGGCGCGCCCTGGCGGCTCCAGATCCAGCCTAGGGGAGGAGGGGGGCCTCTTCGGCATGCCGGAGCAGATGACGCCGGACGAGCTCGAGACGTCGCTGGCGCTGCCGGCCGACACGGACGAGGCGCGCATCGCGTCGGCCGCGCTCGAGACCAACCGGGCGCCGCTGGTGCTGGCCTTCGCCGTCGAGCTGCTGCGCTACACGATGCCCGAGCAGCCGCCGAGCAGCCGCCTCAGCATGGCGCAGGCCGTGGTCGCGGCCAACTCGCGCTACAAGGCCCACAGCCTCGGGATCGAGAGTGCGACGCCGGCCGAGCGGGAGGGCTGGGGCGAAGGCCAGCCCAAGGTCCGTGTCATGGGTCGCGAGATTCATGTTTTGAAACGCGGTGGCTATACGTGGAATGGGGAGGAAAGTATTGCCGATTCGTCCGCCGGGGCTGAGGACGCCGGCGACGCCGCGCCCCACACCGACCCAGTCAAATCAGAGCCGCGGACATCACAACCCATCAAGCTAGAGAGTCAGAGCCAGACCCAGCTGTTGGGCACACCTCGGGCGACCCCCCAGCAGCGACAGCTGCTTGCGTGGTCTACGAGTCAGTCCATCTCGCTCAAGGACTCGACTTTCATTGCCAGGGCCACACACATGCCGGACCCGGCAGAGCGAAAGAAACTCGTATCGTCTCTGATGGCCCAGTACCCCCATCTCAAAACCGCAACACACAATGCCTGGGCCTACCGGGCGAGGCCCCCAGGCTCCAGCAGGGTTGTAGAGGAGAAGTTCGACGATGGCGAGACTGGCTGCGGCGCCTTGATTCTACAGATGCTGCGTGATGCCGACGTTATCGACACCTTGGTAGTATTGACGAGGTGGTTCGGTGGCAAGTTTCTCGGTCCAGACCGGTTCAGGCTCATGCGAAATTGCGTTGGGGGCGCGCTTTCGGAACGCATGAGGCTGACGGGCACCAACGCAGGCCTGGGCGGCGAGGCTGTCTGGGGCCTAGACGTCGAGGCCATGAGGTCCAAATCAACAGTCAGGGGCGCCGGGCCTCCTGCCAGACACCACGAGACCACGGTGGTGGGCATGCAGATCCACCGACCCGAGTCGGCGAGAAACTATCTATTGCGGAGCTTTGCCACGGCGGAACCGCCCACGACGGATCTCGGCACCGATGCCAAGGAGGAGAACAAGACCGAGGGCGGGGCTGTATCTGGCGGTGGCAAAAAGACGGCAGGGGCAAAAAAGAAGACTCAAAAGGAAATTAACCTGGAGAAGGAGGAGAATTTGGGCTTGCTGCTCGGGGCCTTGAGACTCCTCTACGATAGCTGGGCCGACCACCTCACCGTCGCGGATCTAGACCAACGGGCATGGGACTGGTATACTTCGGTTCGCCCGAGTGTCGACTCGGGTCCTTCGGGTTGGGGAGCCAAAGGCACGCTGGAGCTGCAGAAGATACTCAACCTGCGGAGGAAGGCTTAACATTTGGGTAGGCATTGGTCGTATCCTGGCTCTGCCTGCCTTGCTAGTGTCTACTCTCGGGTGCAGATTTGGCGCTATGGCTGGAAAACAGCGTTGCGAGTCGCCCATGCCCCCATCGATGCCACAAATCGCACGAGCTAGACTATTCGAACACTTCGGGCAACGCGAGCAACCAAGAATAACAATCGCAGTCTCCCAGCCACCAATTCTTGCAGAGCTAATGAGCCAACCACGCCAACCACGCGAATGGGGAATACGGAAAAGTTTGACAGCCAAAACGACAAATGGAGCCCGAGAAGGCGGATGGAGTGAAATCCCCCGCCTTCATTTCCCTCCCATCCGTTGCGCGCTTCCGTCGTACTTTAATAGGACCAAGGCGGAAGGTACCATGGAAGCCAAAGACGGTCCCTCTAGCGAGAGAGGCTTGTTGTTCCATCCGATCGTTTGATCCACCCGCCTGCGTCCCGCTTCCTGCTAGTCCCACCACACGTGGGTACCTATACGTACTATACCTTGCCTGCCTCCACCCGGCACAGTACCTGCAAGGTAGAAAACCCCTCTCCAGCATCGCCAACCCGATTCGAGCGGGCCTCCTGGACACCGCCAAGCCTAGAATGTGCACCGAGTGACCGAGAAACAAAGTGAAAACCCCATCACTTGAGTGCCGCTTTCTCGACGCGCCGGATATAGGGCCCAATTGGGGGGGAAAAAACTCGCCCTTGGATCCTTGTATCCTGGAGAGTTGCAGCAACAGCACCTTACCAGGAATTGAGAACTGTCAGTCGCCGTCCTTTTTTTCAAGCACAACCTCAACTAGCGATCTCCCTTGTTTCTTTCGCCTTAGCTCGTGCATATTAGCACTTGCAGTTCATACGAATGAGGCCGCCCTGGTCTGAGATACGGCGCACCCGCAAGGCTGAGAAGGCACCAATGCACCGCTCGAGTCAAGCCCCGAGCCTGCCTGGCCCGTAAAAGCCGCCAGCCATGTGTGACTAGAAGGGACGCGCCGCAGCCGCGCATGCGGGCGGTTTGTTGTGACGGCACGGGCGAACGAGAGAGAGGCCACGGCCAAATGGGGAAAAACCACCGCGGCATTTCTCCCAAGCGACCTGGGGCCCCGCGCCCGCCCAGCCGTGAGAAGAACCGAAGGTGGTGCGGATCCCAAACCGCCCTTTGGGACCATCAAAACTCGTCGGGCCCTCACGCCATGCCATGCCCGTGGGGGAGACGCGGGAAAAGGGGGCCTGGCCCTTGAAAAGGGGGGGGGGGGGCTCTATCGTGCCCGCTTCGCCAACGTCAGTAGGGACAAGAACGGACGATCTCGTTTGGTTTTTTTTTCTGTTCCGTTTTGTTGTGTTGCTGCGGGGCATTGGTGATGCCCACCCGTCCTTCTGCAGTTACCTACCCCAGTCCAAGCTAATTTGCTGGCCGCATTCCTGCCCGCCCGTGGATCGTTCTCTGCATGAATCATTCGCCAGCAAGGGCATGCTGTAGCGTCCGGCCACAACACCTGCCTCTTACACACCGCTGACGCCGCAACGGCAGGGGAGCCACGGTGAAGTAACCCGGAGTTCTGGGTATACGCCATTTCCGCGGTAGGCAGGGATTCCGCCTTGCATAGGGACGACCCCTCCCGAATAGCTTGAGCGAACCAGGTTCCCATGGCGGATGCGGCCGACCGGTCGGGCCATATCCGACGAAGCCCGTCGAGTGCGAGCAACACAGCACTGGAGGCCCGACCTGTCTGACATAAAAGGACGCTTGGCATGTCCTCGGGACTGGCGGTTCAGCCTTTCTCGGCCAGGCACCTGCGGCTCCAGCATCCCTCCAGCTAGCCACTCGCTCCACCATCCCCTACCTGCTCGCCTCTGCGACGTCTCTCCCCCCTCTCCGTCCTCTCATTCACTTGACAGGAAAAAAGCCATGCTTCGCTCCCTTCTGACGGTGGCCTTGGTGGCCGGCCGCGTGTGGTCGTACGACCAGCTGTTCGGGTTCAACGGGAAATACATCAAAGAGAGCCGCACCATCGACGAGATCTACAAGGCTGCTCTGGCCGAGGGCGGTCGGTGCTCTCAATGGATGGGCGGCGACGAGAAGGTTTGTGGATTCTCGCTAACCAGGTGTGAAGCTGTCTAAGTCGCCGGCGGCTAACATGTGTTCACCAGGGAGATGAGGATGCCATCAAACACGAGTTCGAGGCACGCTGGTATGTCATTGCCTCTGCTGCAGTCCTTCCTATACCCCCCCTCAGTTCCACTACCGCCACCATACTGACCACCAACCCTCATCAGGCCTGGCATCACCCTCGAACTGACCACGGACCTGAGCAAGTACCATGCCGTCAGGTTCGATGAACAACTCGCCAAGGGCAACGTGACGGTGGATTCGATCGCCTTCCAGACCGTCGATAGGTTCCCTGGCTGGGACGCCGAGGGCGCCCTCCTCCACTACGCGCCGCTCGGGTTCGACATGATCTACCCGCCCATGCGCGACGTTCGTGCTGCTTTCTACGGCATCTTGACCGTCGGCTGGGCCGGCAAGTGGAACATGGACAAGGCAAGCTCTACTTGGATACCTAGACGGAGCTCGCAGTGGCTGTGACGTGAAAATTACACGGTCGAATTTGAGCTAACCAACTCACTCACCCATCAGCTGCCCGGCATAGAGCCCCCGGTCGAATTTGAGGACTGGCTTCGTCCCGAGTTCAAGGACAAGCTGGTCCTTACTCATCCTTCGGATGATGATGCAGTCAGTAAGTGCCACTTAATCCTCTTTCAGTGTCTTTCCGCTCCCAATCACTTTCTGCCCGCGGACTGGCCTTTCTTGCCTCTGTCTACAAGAGAAAACGCCAAGCTAACCGCTATCCAACCCCACAGTGTATGCCTTTGACTTGATGTAAGTTGCCGATCGGGACCTCTGCTGTGGACATGACCAAGCTTTAAAGGGAGAATGGCCGTACTGACACTAGGCCCCCTTAAAAAGCATGCAACAATACGGCAGAGAGTGGTTTGATAAGATCCTGGCGCAGAACCCACGCTGGGTCCGCGGCACGCGTACTCCGGACACCATCATGAACGACCCCAAGGCCCAATGGGCTGCCAGCTTCACGTCCGACGGCCTGTTCCCTACCAAGACGGTGAACGTTTCGCACCCGGTGCAGGGCCAGTTCGTCACGTGGTTCCAGCTTGCCGCCATCCCCAAGGACGCTCCCCACCCCGAGTGCGCCAAGCTGCTGCACAACTACATGCTCTCCAAGGAGTGGCAGTCCACCCGCGGATCCTGGCCCGTCCGCCGCGACGTCGACCCCCCGGCTGGGTACCCCGGCATTTTCGAGATGCCTGGCACCAACATGTAAGTTGTTATCCTGCCACGCGAAACGAACATGAGCGTGTGTGTGTGACTGCGCACACCACCCGGGAGAATACTGGCTAACGGGCTTATTTTGCAGCACCTACTTCCGCGAGTGGATGAACGACCGCGTTCGGCTGGAGAGGCTCCGGCTGTGGTTCGAGGACAAGCTTGGCACCCCTCAGGGTCTGAGCCCGCTCATTGATGATATCTGAACGGAGGTGCACTTGGGGAGGCCGTTGAGCTCCGCGCTGACGGGCTTATGATGATGATGGATACCATCCAACCAGCAAATTTTAATTCTCTAATTCCAAAGTACATGTTTGTATGGCCGCCGTCGCGTTTCCAGAAGCACCTCGTCTCAAAAGTCGGACTCCTACTTAGTTAGCTGGATACCTATACCTACCTGAATCAGGTAGGCAATACATTACGACGTGCAGTCGAATCAAGACTTGGGGACGGCAACATTTGCTGGGTTTACGGATTTTTTGGCTTTTAAAGTTTGCATGCACGATGCCCACGGGCATGCAACCGCCCCAGATTGAAATCTTGAGAGCCAATACCTATTATTGCAACCATGGGCAAGGGAAGCCATGCGGGCTGATGAATCAATAGAGTTTGACAGCTGGAGATGGTTAATTTGGGTGGCACAATGGATTGATTACGTAGTCCCACTAAATGTGGACATCGCAACCACGGGCGAATTCCCACCGTACTCGAGAAACCGAACAATCAATTACACGATGTTCCAACGTGACGGACACGTGACCACCCTCCCTTTTTTCGTGTAAACAATGGATAGCGCTGCTATGCGCTCGGGAGGACTGGCCACTGTTCACGGTCGTTCTGTGCCAGCCGCAGCGACGGTCCTCGGATTTAAAGTTGATGTTTCATCTCATGTTTCTTCGGAATAGTGTAGGTAGGCTTCATTTTGCAGCACGTGCTCCCTTCGTCGCTTGCACACCAAGCGGCGGACAGGGCCGAAGCCGATGCACGTATTTGGGGCTCCGAATAAAATTAAAATAAAAGCCTTGCTTAAAACGTCGTTTTCTAGATGTTCTCCCGATAGTAGGTTGGAAAACAACAAACATGGCGAGATATTGGTGTCTCGAAAGCTACTTGGTATGCGTACTGGTCAGCTCGGCCGCGGTGCCTTTGTTACTGCGAGTCTTGCTAATGATGAGCCTCTGAAGCAGCCCACCGTTGACAGCGGGCTCTTTCGGGCCAAGCAGAGGGTATGGGCGACGTCCCTGCTGGAGCGCGGTTTCGGCACCTTGTTGCAGGGGACGTCCCGCAGTTGGTTCTGGATGTGGTGTTCCACGTCACGGCTTGCTATTGCGGCACGGCGCTCCTGGTGTACTAGAAATGGCGGCCATTATGGCACCACCAGTTTGGGAGCGACGACGGGGTGTTGCTGTCTGTATACATGCGAGGCAGCTTAAGAGATGGCGGCGCGGGAGGGGGGGATCTTTGGGTAGTCCTGGATTTGATGTGTTTCAAGGGCGGGAGGCAAAGAGGGTGGAGGCGGCTAGGATGTGACGGTTGAAAAGTGATCGTATATGACGCGCATATGGCAGAGTGATGGGCACAGAAGGATAGAGTACGGGCTACAGGAGCGCGCCTCTTGTAACGTCATTCCAAAATATCCGCCACGAGAGCGCTCGCGGAACAGTCGATATTAGAGGAATCAAAAAGGCGCGAAGTGCCCTTGGGGTTGGCGATGCTGAGTGCAGCAGCCGCAGGAACAATAAGATATCGCAAGTAGTAGATGGCGGGCGGGCGGAGACTGGAGGAAGGAGGAGTCTCAAATAAAACATAGGTAGTAGGAGAAGCCGACCGGTAGGGTTGGAGGCCATGAGTGGAACTTGGGGAAAGGAAGCAGTAAATGCGGGACGGCTAGAGGAGCATCACAACGAGGACTGCGGGGCCCAAGGCAGAAAACCATATCTTGGACGGAAGGCACGACTACTGCCCACCTACCCATGGTGCACCAGCATCTCATCATATAACCATCCATTCTGCAGTCTGTAGTCATCGAACACCGAGGACGCCAAGTTGGTGTAGCGGTTATGAGGATGGGTCGAGTCGACACCGGGACCCTACCTGTACTCCGCTGCAATAGCCGCTTGGGTTCTGGGTTCGAACCCCCGTAGGGGATCGAAGAAAACGGGCCCAAGTGGGAGGTTTCGTAGCTGTCCACCCTCGAGGTTGGGCAGTAAGCTTTTGCATTTTTTTTCCTTATTAAATCCTTTTCTTTTTCTTTTTCTTTCCTTGTAAAAGGGTGCAAACGCGCGACGATGCTGCCTTACCTGGCGACGTGCTGATGGCAGTTGCATGGCTTGCTGCATATTGACGACGTTCGAACCCGCACCATCTTCGCCCGGCACCTGGCGGAAAGCTGCCTGGTTTGCTGGCACTCTACTTTTGATTCTATGGCAGCAGCGAGGTGCTGGAAACCCCCGATGCCCTTAGAGCACAGCCCTCGAAAGTCCCATCTACTGCCATTTTCGGGTCGACGCCGCCATCCACGCACCGACCCCGGCCGACCGAGAGGCCTACCCTGTCCTTGCTTCGGCGACCTGGCCAGCACAGGTGCATCTCCTTGACCGTGGTACCATCAGACGAGAGAGCCCCCAACGGCTTGCTCGGTTCGAGGTTTGGTAGAAACAGGTCGGGAACCGCTTCCTTCCCCTTCCTGCTTTCTACTCCGACTTTGGAGCTGTGAAGGGGCCTCATTAGTTTGGACTCCTCCAGGCTGGTCCGAGGGAGCTGCTCCTACAAGTCGCCAGATCCGAAACGAGGTAGTGGACAGCAGCAGCATCCAGCCTCCCAAAACTCCTTGTCGTATGATCGACTAGCCTTTCCCCAAAACAGGCCGGCCGGCCTTGTCGCCCCGGAGCCCGTCGTTGAAACGGATGGCATTGATGGTGATGCCGTTGTCATTGACAAAGCTCCAGTTGATGTGCCTCTGCTGACCACCCTGGTTGTTGCCGCTTTCTGGTCCGAGCTGGAGGTCCTCAAGGCTGAGCGGGATACCCTTGAGGCTAAGACGGCTTGCTGTCGGGGCTGAGCAGTATGCCATTCGGTCTGGCGTCGACTCATATATAAAGGATGTCATGGGGGTCTATGAGCGGCATTGCTGCCCAATAGAGCGCCTCCCGCCATTGATTTGATCCTGGACTTGACGAGAGCCTGAAGGACGCTAAGCGCTGCCAGAGCGAGAAACAACCTTTACTTTACAGGCGTCTGTTCATAATAACGAGCTAGTAGTGAGGCCTTGACAGGTGGTGGAGAGAAGAAATTCTAATGCAACGAGGCCTCGATAAAATTATTCCAGCAGTGGCATTATTCTCAACTGGACGAGGACGGCAGGATAGAGTCATCAAGGGATCAAGTTTGAGGTCAGTCACGGCATCACACGAAGAGCAAGAGAAATGGTATTACAATTCGGCAGAACAGAACCCGGATCAACTACTCGGCGACCCAGAGGGCGGCCATGCCCATACCAGTACCGATACACATGCTGGTGACGCCAACCTTCTCTCCCCTCCTCCTCAGCTCGTAGAGCAGGGTCGAGACCTGCCTGGCGCCGGTGCAGCCGAGAGGGTGGCCAAAGGCGATGGCGCCGCCCTTGGGGTTGATCTTCTCCTGGGGCAGGCCGAGCTCGTTGGCGCACCAGAGGCACTGGCTGGCAAAGGCCTCGTTGATCTCGAAGATGTCGACGTCGTCCTTGGACACGCCCGTGAGCTCAAAGAGCTTGGGGATGGCCGCCCAGGGGCCCTCGCCCATGAGCAGCGGCTTCACGCCGACGACGGAGGCCTGGACGAACTTGCCCAGTACCAGCTGGCCCAGACGGTCGGCCGTGGATCGCTTCATGAGCAGAACGGCGGCGGCGCCGTCCGAGATCTGTGACGCGTTGCCGGCGTGGATGCTGCCGTCCTTTGCGAACGAGGCCTTGATCTTGCCGAGCGACTCGGCCGTCACACCCGGCCGGACGCCGTCGTCGCGGTCCACCACCACCTCCTTGGTCTCGCCCGACTTGGGGTCCTCGAACTTGACCCGCAGCGGCTCAATCTCCTCCCGGAACAGGCCGTCAGCCTGCGCCTTGGCGGCCTTTTGGTACGAGGCGGCGGCGAAGGCGTCCTGCGACTGGCGTGAGACGTGGCGGTCCTTGGCCATCTGCTCCGACAGGACACCCATGGGCACCTTGCAGTTGGCCGCCTCCTGGTGGGCCTCGAGCAGCTCCGAGAACTCGGCAACCGCCTGGGGTCTGTGGTTCGATCATGATGTATTAGATGGGAGGAACGACTGCGCGTGCGCGTGCGCGCGCTCGCTTCAGAAAACGTGGCAACTGACCCGTAGTTGGTGCTCATCGACTCGACGCCAGCGCCGACGCCAATCTCAATCATGCCCGCCTTGATCTGGTTGGCGACGTCGACGCAGGCCTGCAGGCCCGAAGAGCACTGCCTGTTGAGGGTGCGGACGGCCGTGGTCTCGGGGAAGCCGGCGACGAGGGCGGCGGCGCGCATCTCGGTGGCGCCACCGCCGGGGGCCAGCACGGTACCGACGCAGATGTCCTGGACGAGGGCCGGGTTCAGCCTGGACCTGGTGATGATGCCCTTGAGGGCACCGACCATCAGGTCCGACGCCTGCGTGTCCTTGAATCCTCCCTTGCCACCCTTGGTGAAGGCTGTCCGAAGACAGGCCGTCACGACAATCTGTGCGGGGGCGCATGCGCGTCAGTACACTTCTCTCTTTGGCGTCGCGCGTCGGCCGACTGCGATGCTGTCGCTGCTGCGACGTAGCTATTTCCCTCGGGGTCGAGGGCTGGGGACTGACATCATCGGGATGCTTCTCGAGGATTTTGGCGCGACCTCCTCCAGAGCCCAGCGCCCCGGACAGCTGGCCCGAGATTTGCGTGAGACGGTCGAGAGCTAGAGATTGCAAGATTCCATGTGTCAGCGCCTCAAGGCAATTTCTGCGCCGTGGCCGGCTCAGTGTCGAGTCCGCGATCCTGTGCCGACCTACCACCCATGTTGACTAGATTGGATAGAGCGTGTTTGTCTTGTGTAGTGATGGCGAATAACGAGACGAGGTTGGGCTACCAGAGCGACTGATGGGGAGTTGACAAGATCAAGTAGGTTCGTGGGTTTGAGTTTGGCTTCCTCTTTTGTTTCCGGACGAGGCTAGGTTTCAGTTGTCAAAAGAGGTTGGCCGAGTTGGCGGAGCTGACTGGCAGCATCAGCGGAATGCATGTGAAGCTCTTGGCTGATCTGGCTGACCTCGAGCCGTGTGCCGAGGCTTCCAGCGCTGCTGACGGCTGGTGGCGGCACTCGGCTAAGGCGTGTGGGGCACGTGCACGCTCGTGGGCCAGGGAAGCACAGGCCGCACGCTAGGTACCATGTTCACAACCTCAGCACAGTCCTTGGCATAGCCGCTGTCCTATGGAGCCCTCGGCAGTGCATTCATCGAGCAGAACTATGGAGCGATAGCTCAGTTCAATGCGACCAGAAGCCCGCTCCTCGCACGAAATCTCGCCATCTAGCTAGAAATCATCACCTTCAAACTCATGCTAGCTACCAAGCCGGTGGCAACCTCGTCGCGCCATCTGCCACTTGATAAAGACAGTATACTGCCGGACTTCGGAGCACACAGCTCTGCCTTCAATGATAAAATTTGTTCACACGTCTCAAACCGCTCATTGGAAGCGTGGATATGGGCTCATATCCCGGTGGCAAGGTGATCTAGTCTCGATGATCTGTCTGGCACGTCCAGGGCGGCGAGCTAGAGTGATATCCATTACAGCCCTCGAGAGTGAGAGGATCTGGATGTGAGGGGAAACTGCTATTTGTGTAGGGCTTTGTGGTTTCTTTACCCCATAACAGCTCAAGCAAGGTCCAACTAGTTCCTTGGTTTCTGGTGACGATTAGGCAGCCCTAAGCGTGCGCGAACCGTCGAGAATTTTCCTCTCGCTCAGCAGTGTTACGGCCGGCCCAAGTTGCGGTTCGCAATATTAGATAAATAGGCAGGTGGGTGGGTACAGGTATGGCCCTTCAAGGTCCAAGATCAGCTCGTGCTCCTCGGGTGGTTAGAATCAAGCTGGAGACAGGCTATAGCATGCTATCATCGCCCTTGCAGTGCTTGATGAGAAGCGAGACGGATTGCGCCGCCCACTTTTGGCGCACAAATGTACTGCCCCCAGACAACCCTCGCTCTGTTGTACGTAAATCCTTGATAGGAGATGGGAAGCAAGAAAGGGAGCATGGAAGCAAACAGGAAAATCGGACAGGGGGAAGAGATACCGCCAGGGCTATCGACCTGAGAATGGTAATCCCCCTGCGACCAAGGCGGAACCGTCGGTCCGTCGGTTAACACACCGAACACTTCTGGCACCAATCTTGTACGTCTCAATAACGGTGTGGCCACCAATATTTCCCTCGGAGACGGGCGAGAGTCATGCCTGCCCCCCAGTGTCCCATTTTGTCTTGTGCCCAGTCGAGAACCTTCTCGGCATCCGGAGCCTCGATCCAGACAGCCTATCGCTCAGGCAGCCTTTCTCTCTCTTGCACAGCTGCCCGTAGAAGATGAGGAACTGCAGCGCGCGCCTCCTGACGTTCTTTGCCTCGCCAGGGATAGCTACTAAAAAGACTCGGGACCCCTCGCAAAGATATCCGCAATTCCCCCATATACCCTCGCCTCCTCGCGGGTATCGACTACCGCTTAGCGGTTCGCGTCTCTCTGTTAGTTATAGTCATCGTCAAAATCACACCATCTATGGTCTTTTTGTATCCGTATCCATATCCATCTTACATACAGCATCGGGTCCGGTGCCATCGTCATGCCATTGGCGCTTCTCGTCACCATTATCGCCTCCACGCATGTTGATTTCCAGAAGACTGCCTATCCAGGTAGCCGGCATTTAATCCTCATACTCTGGTTTCGCCCTCTATCCCCACTCTTGTCTTGTCGTAGATTGATTCGCACTCGCCCTTGAGGATGCGAGTTCGTAAATTGCAGTCGATTCATCCCTGTAGTGCGTAAGCGTAAGCAGGGTGGAAAGGCAATAAGGATCGACATTGAAATAGATGTACCTGACACATGCTCAGCACACAGGGAATTCTCGAACGTCGTCTCAAAGAAAATACGTTCCACGGCTGATGCACCCATTATGTCGGCTTCAGAAGGATTCCGAGCCTGATATGCAACAGTATCATTTCTCGGCCGTTCGCACAAGGCGTAGGATCATCACACTGCCCCAGATGGTATACCAAAACATACATACAGTCTTCCTCGACGCCACCCGATCAAAGCAGAGGTCCAAAAAAAAGAGTATCACATATCACAGTAGGAGAGTTTTCGTGACCTCCGGGGGCCACGAACAGAAAGAGACAATACAAAGTGTCATTGAAGGATCAGGCCCAGAGCGCTGCGGCCGTTGCCACCATCACGGAAACTAACCCAGTGGATACGTGCGAGGCGCCGGATGTTATAGGAGCTGCGGATGAGCCGCCGCCAGTCCCCGGTGCTGTTGCCGGCGGGAGCACTGTCGCAACTGGATTTGGAGCCCCCACAGGGGATCCAGGGGTGCCTGGCACAGGTGCGGGAGCGGGCATCCCAGAGGGCGCTGCGGTGCCAGGCGGGTTGTTCGCGGGTGCCCCGGGCGCCGGAGGTGCGGCAGGCTCTCCAGGAGCCGGCGCCCCTGGAGTGGGAGGCAGCGGGCCGGATTGCGCTGGCCCGGGATTTGTGACCTGGCCATCACAAACGAGCGTTAGCCAGCCGTGTCTGCTCGGGGAAGACTCCTACTCGAAGGTGCCGAGAGGCACAAAAGCGCATGAGCCCGAAAATAAGATGGGGGGTGACTTCACTAACGTTGAAAAAGTTGCCAGCAATAATCTGGCTCTTGGTGATGCCTACCGACTCGAGCACTGCTTTTGTGTCAAAATTTTCACGCTTGAGCGCCGCCTGAGATAGCTTTGTGATCTGAGCCATGCTGGCGTTGCTCATGTCGACCAGGATCTCGGTGTACCGGTGGCTGAGCGGCACCCGGGCAGGCGGGGACGGCCCGATGTATGGCGCGGCCGCGATCACGTTGCGGCGGTTCTCGAGCAGGAAGACAGGGGTGCGGCCAAGAGCCGTGTTGAGGATGGTCTCGCTAGGGCTGGGCGTCAGGTCCGTCTGCATCCAGTGGAGAAGCGTCGTCGTCTGGGGCGGGTTCTCCGTTGGGACGTCCATGTCCACCATTATGACGGCATACGACCTGCCTGGCAGGGCCTTGTCGGTGGCCAGCCTGGGCTGCTTCGCCGTTGCGGCCTGGGACAGGGCGCCGTCGCTGACGGCCGAGATGCTGAGCGAGTAAATAACGGTCAGGGGCGCCGCCGCCTCGGGCGAGAAGCCCTGTGGCGTAAGGGCCAGCGCGCAGCCGGCGGTGACGACCAGGAGACCGAGATATGACGATGGTCGCATGGTTGCTTATCGTGGTGTACGGATGAACTAAACCAAGGTGGTGGCTGTAGGCAGTGAACTGGTGAACGTGCCGCGGGAGGCTAATTCAATGCGTCAGATAGGTGTGGAGGCAATATCAACAGGTGTCAGTAGCCGCTTATTGCTACCGAGAGGATAACACTTTAGACCATCCACTTCAAAACAGAAAGAGATCCTCACAGAAAACGCAACGAGGGGGGCGGAAGCGGGAGCCAAGGTAAATAGATAAAAATCCCCACCCCCCTCAGCCCTCGAACAGGATGGGGCTGGCCACCATAAAGACGAGAATGACTGAGCCATGGCGGTTTAGACAAAAGTTTGTTCCTCGGGATGCAAACATATATTCGTTCCGAGACGGCAAGTGGTCAGCGATGAAACGAGATGGATGGACTGGGCGGTGACGGCTGGGTGGTCAAAGCTTCGAGATGGCCGCTGTCTTTGCTGGTTGGCCACGGCTCGAGATCAGACGACGGCGGGGTTGATGCAGAAGCTGGCGCACGCAGGGGTGCTCCTCAGTCCAGATTCAGGTTCCATCGCCGTGTCCAAGCAAAGAAGCTTGAAACGGGAGGCAGGCCGCGCGCACCCCCCTGCACACATCGCACCTCGGGGTCCGCACAGATGCCTGAGGCTCTGCGGGACAAACGGTGGCGTCCGCACGTTACAGAAAGAGTCAAAGGACAACTGATCAGCTAGATCCCTGGCTGCCCATCCGCGTCTATGGCGGGAGTCTGTTGCACGGAAATATTTGGTGACCGCAGCCGGCAGACGTTATCAGGTGTCGTTCATTGGGCCAAGTCCCACGCGCCCCGTTTGGTGTTGAACAGAATTGTGGGCCGCGGCGATCCCCCAGATTCGCAGGCCCACTGGTGGACGACCACAAGGCAGGTACGTGCCACCCAAATTCAACGTCAAGCCTTTAATACCAGAGAAAAGACGCCAAACGAGCAGGAGAAAAGAGGCCAACGCCTCTGTGAGGTCTGCTTCAAGGCTAAAATGCGCAGTTGGTATGCTGACTTGCTTTACTAGCCACCTAGCTTGCCAAAAAATCAAGTTCACCTCAGCCGGGCGGGTTGACCAGATGTGCATAAACAAGGGAAGGATTGCTGCATGCATGGGACATTCGGAGAAAGAAAAGAAGGTATAGGGTGCAGTCGCGATGCGGTTGTGCTATGCTTGCTACTGTCAAAAACTTCCTGGTGCAGGTATACGGCTGTGCAGAGCGCACAGAAAGCAGGGCCAGTTGACAGATATAAAATGGTGGGTGAGAATAGCCTCGAATTCTGGCGCTGGCGGGGGCGACAGGGAGGTTGGGAAGGAATTTGCAGGCTGCCTTGGTGCAGGCAGGGCGGGCGCGGTGCATATCAAAATCGCCTCACCTCCTCGTTCTGGCTCGCGATGGCTCAGACCTGCTTCACCCTCTGGCCCGCACGGGAAAGGAGGGGTGGGCGGCAAGCCAGACCCGCAGTCGAGAGCCTCGCCAGCAGCGCGCCTCTCCTTGGAGCAACCAGGCCGCGCCCTAGAGCATATAAGTTCGTCTCGACGGCTAGACCTTCAACCGAGGCGACTGAGGAGTGGCCTAATTGGAAGCATCTGGGCGAGTTTCAACCACGAACGCAGGTACTTTCAGTCAGGCCCCACCTCGACCGCAGACACGACGGGTGTACCCCAGGTTGACACAATCAGAAACCTCCTGGTCCATCTCTGTGCTAGGCACAGCGTACCGTTACGCAAAAAAGATGGTTAGCGGTACACGTGCCGTCGCAAAGAAGTACCGCCGTCCACGCCTTAATCGGCAGGCGGGGCGCAGTAGCGACAGACTCGGTATACAAAAGTCTGTTGGCTGGGCCTGCCCCAAAGAGCCCGGGTTCAAACCCGGCTCTGGGACATTTCTTTTTCATTTTTTTTTTCATTTTCATTTTCCCTCGCCGCTGCCCGCCACGATTCATCCTACTTGTCCGAAGTTGCAAGTAGCATATGCTTTACTAATCGCATTACCACGGCTTTTTGTAACATTCGAACTGTTTTCGCTTTGCATTTTTGGTTCAGCATCACCAGCATCTTCGCCGCCCTAATCGATATAAGTAAGACCTTGCTGGCTGGTGGAGCCTGGCATGTCGTTGTGGTGGCGGCCTACAAGTGGAGCCTTGGCGCAGGAAGAAAACGCCAATCCCGAACAGGCTAGCGGTTTGGTATTATTCCCGGCTAGCGTTGCACCACGGTGACAAAGATGAGCTGCAGGTGGATGCACGAACTACACTCCTTCCGAGCCATCCGGCCATACAATGATCGGCTTCCCCTCCCTCCTTTTTCAGCGGCGGGGGTTGCGCAAGATGGAAAATGTTAACCAACCTGGCGTGTCCCTCGAAAGCCTTCCTTGGAAAGGCATTTGGAGCTCGAACGGCCCCTCATTCCTTCACCACCAGCGACCATCACTTGTGACTGGACAACCACGGTTCGATTGATCTGCCCAGCACACTGGGTTGGGAATACCACTGTTTACCTCGATCGACTGGAGATGCTATTGCCGGCTGAGGCATGCAGATTTGGGCTTGGCGACATGGTGGCCGGACCGTTGGTTGTCGGAGTCGACGTCGGAGGTAAGTGGGCGTCTCTTCTTGGCTGTCGCTGCTAAGAAGAAGGCGAGACTGCAATGTCGGTTGCTTATTGGCTTCCCACCAGGGACCAACACCGACTCGGTCCTTCTGGATCTTTCCAAGACCGGCTCGGCGGCCGTCGTCGCCGCCGACAAAAAAGAGACTCGCGCCAACGTCACTCGGGGGATCCGGAGCACACTTGGGGAGCTCCTCAGCAAGGCGCTGGTTGCCCCAGCCGACGTTGCCGCCGTTGCCATCGGGACCACGCACTTCCTCAATGCAATCATCGAGCGCGACGGGAACAGAGTCGAGAAGGTCGCGGTGCTCCGCCTGGCGTCGCACAACTTCTCTGCCGGAACACCACCCTTCGCCGACTGGCCGCAGGGACTCGAGCGCATTGTACATGGCTTCTCCGCCATCATCCCCGGCGGCTGCAACATCGACGGGTCGGTTCTCGGCCCGGTGGACGAAGAGGCTGTCCGTCGACTGGCAGCAGAAATCAGAACTGCTCGCATCAAGAATGTTGCCATTGTCGGCATCGGGTCACCCATGGACGAGCACCATGGGCAGGAGGAGATTGTCCGAGATATGATTGTTGACGAGCTCGGCGGCAGCGTCAATGTTGTTTGTTCCAAGGAAATTGGCGGCGCCGGCTTGCTCGCGCGGGAGAACGCCACCATACTCAACGCCGCCATCCTAAGCTTTGCTCGTCGCACCATCCAGGCCTTCATCGGCGCCATGAGAAATACAGGCTTGCGTTGTCCGCTGTATCTCACCTCCAATGCCGGGCACCTGCTCCCGTTCTCCGAAGCCATCAAGGCACCCATTCACATATTCTCATCGGGACCTACAAACTCCATCCGCGGAGCTGCTTTCCTGGCGGGAGCTGATGGCATCGGCAGGACTGGAAGTGTCGTGATCGATATCGGAGGCACCACCACCGACGTCGGGTATCTCCTTCGGAATGGCTATCCCCGCCTGACCAGTACCTATAGTGATCTTTCTGGGATAAAGGTAAATCTCGAAATGCCTGCCGTTGGAAGCATCGGACTTGGAGGAGGGTCGGTCATCCACAGGAGCGGAGATGTGGTCCGTGTCGGTCCACAAAGTGTTGGGCATGAACTGACTACGAAAGCTCTCTGCTTTGGAGGAAACACGCCAACCGCAACAGACGTGGCTGTAAGCCTCGGGGTCGAAATTGGCGCAGCCAAGAGGGGTCAATACCCTGAGCTCCCCGACTCTGTCGCCGCTGCCGCCAATTTGCGCATCAAGAAGATGCTCGAGTCCATCGTTGATCGCGCAAGGTTATCTCCTGACCCTTGCGATGTCATTCTTGTAGGAGGCGGATCTATTCTTTGCCCACCAGGCTTACTCGACGATAGACTGGTCCGGTCCGTCGCTATCCCCCCATACGCAAACGTTGCCAATGCTGTGGGCGCGGCTACCGCTCTGGTTCATGGCTCTGCCGAAAGCATCATACACGGCCCAGAAGTCGAGGCCGGCATCGCAACGGTCACCGCACGAGCCGTTCAGAACGCAGTCGCCAGGGGAGGCGTGCCCGGCTCGTCGGCAACACTCATCAGCAAAGGGGTCTCGGGCGTGCCCTACGTCGAGGGGCAGACGGTGATCAAGATCGAGGTCACACTTCCCGCGGATCATGGGCGCGTTTATGCTGAGATGCTTCACACGCCAGCCGAAAAGTACGACGAAGCCATGGAGGCAGAGCTTACACAGTCAACCGACAAGGCCTGTGCCGTGGGTCGCGGTATCGGTGAGGAGCAGGACGGGCCGGTAGTTGACCTAGGGAGCTACAGGCCCGATGTCAGCCCAGATGGTGAATGGCGATTATCAGAGACCGATGTGAAGCTTCTGTCCGTCGGGTGCTACATTCTAGGCTCGGGAGGAGGAGGGTCGACCTACGCCCCCGAGCTCGAGTTGAGACAGCTCATACGCAGCGGCCATAGCGTCAAGATCACCCGCTGCGAGGACCTGATAGATGACGATCTGCTCCCGCCCGTGGGGAGCGTTGGCACTCCTGCCGTTGGGATCGAGCGCCCCGGAGGCGATGGAGTGTATCACGCCATGAAGGAGATGGAAAAGGTGCTAGGCATCGGTGCCCGGTTTACCAAGCTTTTAGCAATCGAGATCGGAGGCTCCAATGGCGTTGGGACACTGTTGTGGGGGAGTTCGAAATACTACAACATCCCGACCGTGGACGGCGACTTGATGGGTGAGATCACTTCCCCTCCTCTCTGACACAAGACGAATGCAAAACCTCGCTTCAAGAGCTCGGTTACTCACTACAATCTGGGCGGCGTACAGGTCGAGCATATCCTAATTTCGAGATGGTCTCGCGATACGTCATGGGTGACTCTGTCAATGACCTCTTTCCTGTCACGCTCTGCAGTGGCACTGGCGACAATGTCGTGATACCGAAAGGACAGGACGACGCCGTCGCCGCTGGGGCTGCAATGAGAGATAATCTGGTCTCCATGGGGTAAGCATTCCAGGCTTTGGAAACCGCACCAACCCCTACCCCTACCTAGAAGGGCCCCGGAGAGCCCTGATCTGATTGAAATGGAGCTTGTCACATCAGATCCGCGGCGGGAGCAGTCGGAAACCCCTTAACCGGCGCGCACATGAAGTCCGTCGGCATACCCAACACTTTCTCGCTGGCCTGGCGACTAGGCCGGGCGGTGGTGGCGGCGCAGCGGCGGGCCGAGTCCTTCTCGGGGGTGGCGCGGGCAATCATCGCCGAGTGCGGTGGCCCGCGATCGTGCCGGCTGCTCTTCCGGGGCAAGGTGCGCGGCGTGGAGAGCCACGTGACTGCCACAGCTCACAGCACCGGCAAGATCACAATCGAGAGGCTCGGCGAGGGCGAGGGCGAAGGTGAGGACGAGGTAGACGACGGGGACACGAAACCTGCCAGTGACAAAGATACTTCAGGGATCGAGTTCGACCCAGACCTGCTCGAGGTTGAAGTGCCCTTTATTAACGAGAACCTCTCCGTGGTTGGAAGAACAGCCGATTGTCCCGACAAGGTGCGTCCCGTTATGACTCCCGCTTTATCCCGCCCTTTGCCAGGATACTATACACTGTTTACCCCCGAGAGTCCCTGCTGATGAAGATGGTCACGGGATAGGTCCTCGCTACTGTACCGGACCTAATCTTCATCCTCGACACTGCCACGGGAGAGAATATCGGGGTGCAAGACTACCAGTACGGACTCAAGGTGGCCGTGATGATTATGGCGCCGCACCCCCTCTGGGTCAGCGAACGCGGACTACAGGTAGCCGGCCCGAGGGCATTCGGCCTCGTGCACGACTACACGGCAACCCTGGAGTACACGAAACCTCGGAGCGTCATTGAGGAGTTTCGCTCGGTGGAACACAACCACGACCACGACGCAGCTCGACCTGAACCATGAATGCGAAGACCTACGTAGCAGGTGGCGACGCCGGTTTCATGGAAATAGCTATGGATGTTCCCAACGGCGAGCAACCACGAAGCAATGTCGCCATTGTGCGGTGCGGGCTTTGTGGATACGCCAAATGACAGCGAGGATGACTGACGCAGACCCCAAGTCGGCTGGGGGGGATGGAGTGACGGAAGCCTGCTTCGCATCCTACATCCTATGGTGCTGATATCACCAACAAACACGGTGGGATTGGGCCTCAAGGGGAGCCAACCCCGGTCCCACCACGTGCGGGGTGCATCTTCGGCCAGCCGGAAAACCGGGGCTGGGGGCCCAAGGAATGGACTTCATCCACCGTTGGAGTTTGGAGAAGATGAGAAGGATCCGGCTTTTCCCACGGCTGTAGAAAGAGTCGAAGCGAGCTTCCTTTCCCCCACTTTCCACATTTAAACTAGATGCGATGTGGCGCTAAACCGAAGGTTGAGTAAAGATTTTTCTTATTTCTTATTCTTATGTCGTCTCTTCTAAACCTAGCACCAACCTTGTCCTGTCTGGTGGCGGTGTCAACCCATTTTTAACATGATAAAAAAAATCCCATGGGAAACAGGGTTCCAGGCCTGATCCATTTTTGGTCGCCATGCGTCCAGGCATGGCTACATGAGAACTTCCTTGATCCAGCTACATGTTCAGCGTGTGCCCCCTGCGGTGCAGGGGTGTGCTATATCCAGGACCTCTTGAGTCTGATTGAGGGGTTAAAAATGCAAAAGGGTTCTTTTGTTTTTTTTGTTTTTTGGGTTTCAGCAGGACAAGACATGGAAGCGACCTGGGCGCGGGAATGCGACGCAAAGAGCCCCAAAATTTCGGCAGTTTCCACAAAAAAAAAAGCTTCTGCATAAGCCCGTCGGCACGTTTTCGCTGGGCGCGCGCGCGGCTCCAACGCAGCGCAGGGCCTGCGCCTCTCGCGGAAAGACCGCCCGTGAAGCCGCTCGAGACGCACAAGTGCCTCGCATCTGACATGGCAGCGCCCCGATTGCTCTCGTTCAGGCTCCAGCATGCTCGTATACTATGGCAGGACGGGGCGGGGGGCCAGCGTTGTTTTCTCTCTCTCTCTCCCTCTCTCTCTGTGCTCCCTGCCATTCCCTGTTGTGTCCAACAGCGGCCGTGCGTCCTGCTTGGCTAGCGTGGGCCAAGGGCCCTTGGCGCGTCGTCGTCGTTCACCGCAGCGCCGGCTGTGCAGATCGCTGGCGGTTCTCTTTTTCTTCACCAGTCGGGAAAAGCGTGGAAACATTATTTGTTCGCGTTTTAGCTGGCTGTCGGGTGTATCCCCCTCCGCCAAAGGGCCCTGCCCTCCACTTGCACTGGGCCTTTGGCCCGCAACAATCAAAGGTTAATTAATGTGTCTCGCCTGCCCATTCTTCCAAGCGTAAAACTGTCTTCTCATCAAGCGTAAAAAGCGTCATCTGTACGCGCGCAGACCGCTCTGCCACGACCCGATCCGCCTGACATCCTATGTCCAGCCATCACAAGACGGTGCCAGAACAGGTTGTGGCCGAGGAAGGATCGGAGAGGGTCTAGATCAGCGCCAGGGGAGGATGCCGGGTGATGGAAAACCGGCGACCATGGCTAGGGTTGGGACTCGGGGCTAACTAGCTAGCGGTGGGCTGAAAGGGGGGCGATGGCGTCAAAAAACCGAAAACCTTGCCAACACACATCCGGACGGACTCTACCAAGTATTTACATAGCGGCTCAGGAGGAGAGAGAGGTAGGTGAGGGGTATAGTGACCAGCCCGCTCCACGGTCAGTTGGGGTTCTTCCGGAGACTTGACCGAACAGCATCTGTCCAGAGAGCAAATGGGTCTCGGCAACACCGTAAGTCGAACCGAGCCCCAGCAACGCCGCGTGTGTGGGTGCGTGGGGTGCGGGCTGCACGACGTGGCGGGGGGGAGAATTCAACGCTACCCCCTTTTTTCTTTTGCTCCGGTAGTCGGCCCGGTCCACGATAAGCTGCACTCTTCTCTCGTGCTCCCGTCCGCGCTCTGTCTCAAAAAAAACGAAGAATGCGAGCGATTTGGAAACATGCACACCCTCCATCTATCCCCACCAACCGCAACAGGCTAGGCTGGCTTGAATCGGGAAGGTGGTGTGCGCAAGAACAGGCTCGTGGCACGCGATCCAACCAGAAGATGGGATAGATTAGTTAGATTCAATACATTGTGAGGGCCTGATATCACACATTGGTCTCGACCGGTGCTGCATGTTACCCAAGTTGGTGGGAAAATATTCCAGCCCCCCCGGCAATCACCCTGTGCCGGCAAGCTTGTTGATGTTTTTTCGCGTGACATGGTCAGGGCTGGACTGGTGAAATGCACACTTCATATCTGGCTGCTGACATGATACACAATCTGCATACTTTCCTCGTGAAGGACCTGCATTAGGCTGAACCCAAATGATGCTTCGAGGAGGGGACCACTGAGGATGCACCCAGCCGTGGACTCCCACATTCCTTATCGCAGGGATCGATGGCTTGTGGCAGACGCCGCAGCCAACAAAAATGGCTAGTGGCGAAACAGCCCGCATCCATCAGATCAAGACTGTTTCTCCCACACGTGCTTGGCGCAACAACTGCCGCAAGGCATTGCCCACCAAGCGTAGGTATCCCTTGCTGACTACAGATTTGTTCAATATTGAGTTTGATTTGTCCCGTCACAGAAGTGGAATAAGAAGAGAATGGGGAAAAAAAAAGCAGGTATCTGTCCAGCAAGCTCTTGGTGATGTCTGCAGATCGACGAAGTTAGTTGAACTTGAAACGGTGGGTGGTAGCCCTCTGTCGCGGAGACATGAGATGTGGATGCGACAGGCGCTCGCCTAACAACCAAGGCAGGAAAAAGTACCGCACCCGCGGGCGAGAGTGGGTTGAAACTCGAGCAGATGGACCCCGCAAAGCGAGCTGCTAACGCACCTCCGTATAAACGTGCAGTCCTGATGCGAATGCGTCGTACTTGTCGCAGACCCAAAGCCCTCATGCGACGGGACACCAGGCATGCTAGGATCGGACGACCCAATGGAGTCGGCGTCTGCCCACACATGCCTGCTCCGAACGGGTGCTCAGGGCTGCGGCGCACGCGACCAGCGCTGCTGGCCGGCGTCGGCACCGGCGCCGTCTCATGCGGCTGCAGACACATGAGCACAGTAGCACGCGCTCGCAAAGGGCCTAGACAGGCTCCTAAGATCGAGAGGGCGGGAGTGTGGCAGCCGGATCCCAAAAGGTGGGATGCGCTAGACAAACAGGGTGGAGAGGAAGCGTGGAGGCGACTCTCTGCTTCCCCCCATGGCGCCTGTGGGCCTTTATCTCGGTGGCGAGCTGCCGTGTCCAATAGAGCTACGCCAGCTTGAGGAGTCGGTTCCTAAATTGGCAACCGAGCTTTTGGATGGGGCCAATATTCGTGCCAAAGATTCATGGGTGCAAGCCACGAGTGCCATGATAATGGCCCGCCATTAGATAGGTAGGACCTTCAATGGAAATAAAAGAAGCATGACAGAGGAACAAAAGGAATCCTGGGAACAGCCGAGCTGCTGGCCGCCTAGTTAGGAGGGATCGAAGCTGTTAGCGCGAGCGGCGCCGCTGCATGACGGCGTCTGTGCCTTTTGGGGGCCAGGCAGTTGGTCTGGCCGTCGTGTGGTGTGGTGTCAAGGGCGAACCATTTGTGCCTGGCCCTGCCGGCTGCGACCGCCCGGGCTGCCTGCTGCTGCTTGCTGCTTCGCATCCGTGCTCCTCTCCTCCCATGTTTGCTCGCGCCTCCCTCGCGCAGGCCTGCAGCAGGCGCATGGGGATGGTGCCACTGCTAGGCCTGCCAAAATAGCAGACCTAGGCCCGATCGGGTAAGGGCGCCCGGTGGAGCGGGGGTACCTAGGGGGCCAGCGCTTCCACTGCAAATCTCGCGCCTGTTCCCCAGCGTCGCTCAAGTCACTCGCACAGGCTAGCCATCTGGCTGTAGGACCCGCACCGGGTGGGAACCTGGGACCCTGGCCTGGCCAAGGGTGGCCCTGGTCTAGTCTGCTCATTTCCCCGGCCCCCATTGGATCCTGCTCTGGTCGCAGCGCTCAATTGCACTCGACTGCGGCGCTGGTTTTGACTCGCTCTCTGGGCGCTGTGCTGCCCTTGCCCGTCTCGGCTGGCTTCCCAGTTGCTCCCATTTAACCCATCCCCTTTCTGCCCGTCCCTGCCTGCCGCACAAAGAACTCACGATCCCCCTTCTTGGTTCCTCCCAGTCCTCCTGCTCCCGCGCGCCGCCCATTGAAAAGAAGCCCGGCTTCCGCACCAGCTCGACCACCTGCGCCCGGCCACGGATTCGACTCCCGACCGGCCTGCCGACCAATTGGCGCCCTAACTGCTCCGCCCCTGGTCCGTCCTCCTCCTCGTCGTCGTCCAACCCCCTCGAAGCGGCCAACCAGCATCGCCGATTAAATGCTTGTTTTGCATCGATAAACACAGAAAAAACCCTCCTTCTCTCTCTTTGCCTCTCCCTTCGCCTTGTCCACCGCAAGGAGAGCTGCCAAACAGAGATTGGGTTGGGGAAAGTCAACAGCCAAGGTTCTAGGCACGAAAGACAAAAAAGCCATCAAAGGCAAAGGGAGAAAGGAAAAAAGAAGACACACAGAAGGACCAAAAAACGGGACGGGACGGCAAAGAAACACCAGCTATCGGGAAAAGCGATCATTTCACAGACAACAAACACTCTGTCTCAGGACGCTGTCTCCATTCTTTGGCTCATTTCTTGTCTGGGACCGGACCACCTGATCAGACGTTGAACCTTGTCACCAGTTTCTCGAACCGGTCAGTCGCTCTCGCTGTCTTCAATTGCTTGTGCTTCCTCTTCTCCTCACCTCGCGCCACTCTCATGTCGCATCAGCGCACCCCCAGCCTGTTTGCCCACATAACCGTGTCCTGCCATCGTGCTATCCAGCTCGTTGCCCAGAACCACACGCCGTTGTGTTGCCTGCCGCTGTCCCTTCTCACCTGCACGGGTGATACCTCGCGCGTCACCTGGGCATCACTTCCCAACATCTAATCACGCTTCTGTTGATGCTGGCTCCCGGCCTGTCCCACGCGTCTCGGCACTCTTCTCCAGCCCCCTTTTCGCACTCGTGCTCAACTGTACGATAAAACCTCAAAAGACTGACCTTCAATAGCCTCTCGACTCACTTTTGAGATTCATCTGCACCCCGCCTGTTAACCAGCGGCTTTTCACGTTTCGACCATTTTACAATACTCTCGAGCCGACAAACACGCCTCATCAACGATGAGCGCTCCTGCATACGAGAAGAAGGCGACCGTCACGCCCCCGGCGGTCGCCGTCCACACCACACGGATACACGAAAAGTCGTCCAACGAAACGATGGGCAGCCGGACGCTGTCTCCCCCAACCGATAACGACAGGAGTCGGAGTGGCGCCGGGAGGTGCTCTGATGTTTCGACACCGACGAGCGCGACGGCAAACCTCAACCCTTTCGACACGGATATTGAGGCCATGGCCATGCACCCGACGGACACGAGGGAACTCAGCCACCCACAGACGCGATCGGGGCTTGTGCGTTGCTCGACAAGCCTTGTGAGGGACGGCAGTAACCAAGACTGCCAGGTTTGGCCCGGCCGGGACCACTGGAAGACCAAGGCGAAGGCCCGCAAGCGGAAGAACGCAAGCTGCAACTGCCTCTCCAGCCTAAGCAATCGGAACCGCATGATTGTTAAGATTCTCATCGTTGTGCTCATCCTTTGCCTCGGTGTCGGTGTTGGCCTCGGGGTCAGCAGATCTCTCAACGCTAGGATTTGGACCGGCAATCAATAAGGCCGACTTTGCCTCCTCATACAAAGCATCACACAAGGTTCTTGAACCTGTTGTATCAATTTTCGTTGTCGTTTTTGAGGTCACCATAAGCTTTGACCCCCGAGGGCGCCAGCTTGTGAGTTTTTGGAGCCCCTCTCTTCGCTACTGGGGCTGTTCAGGTTGGCTAACTTCGCTTTCTGCTCAGCCCCAAGAGCGAATTTATATATATCGTGTCCTCGTCTCGCTCGGCACACCACTCCGCCCTGTTACCACCGCGGTCACTGCTCTGGGGCCTCACTACGCCCCCATCGGTTTTTCGTCTCCGTCCCCCGCCTCTTCTCTTCTTTGCAAATATTGTATCTTCTACATAGAGGACAACACCCGGCCATGTCAACGGCTGGGAGTATTCAAGAGACATAGGGTGCTTGCTATTTTTCTTACCCTTCTCTTCCTGTTTCATGTCCATTTTCCTCCCGGAGTTTTGCATGGCGTTTTTTTTTCTTTCACAAAGGGACACACAGCACCGGCGTCCAGGACTCGCTTGTCTCCTTGGTCTATCACATTCTGTACCTCGTGGCTTTCGGTTCGTTCTCCCCCTGGCCGCGAAACACCGTTGCTACAAGTCGCGCTTGCTTCGGCCTCCCCCATCACGTCGTTCCACACCGGCACCAGTATATAAGAAGCGAATGAGGGAAGAGTGGCAGCGACGGGCCCCCGCCCAGGCTCGTCGCGGAGGGGCAGTTAATATGTGTCAGTGTTCAGCGTCTGGGGAGCCTGACCGTTGTTGTTCAAATTAGAGGAGGTCTAGCATATAGAACTTCTGCCAGATTGGCCGTTGCACGGATGGAGGGCAAGCAAGGAAATCTGCCACACGAAGGCATTGGACAAAACAAGCGCATCCACCCTCTGTTTGGCATCCTATCGTGAACCGTACTCCTCCTTGCAGTCCAGGTTAGAGCTTCCCGTGGACCCCTTTACCAGGGAGCCAGGGGAGACGAGAAGCTAGGCGAGAGAGGCCGGGCTGGGGCTCGGGACCCTGCATTGGCCAGCAGCGGTCTTTGGCACAGGGCTAATAGGCACACATCCTAGGCCGCCAGAGAGGCGCAACCAGACCACCGGGAGTGAGCTGCCGACTCCCATCAGCCAAGGGGTAGGTGGTTGCTAGGTACTCGGCGTGATAGATGATACATGGATGATGGTATGCACATGATGGACTTGTCATCATCTTCAGAGCCGTGAATGGCTCCTTGGCCCCTTGAACTAGAGTTTTACCGTTTTACAGTTTACATGACATAAGAATGGCAGGGCAACAAAACGACGGCCTGTGCGGCGGGAGGGCGGCCGCCCATGCCCATGTTGTGGGTTATTAGTAGATTGATTGAAACAACCCCAAATTCACAACCCAAGCGTCCATCCGTCTGTTCCCTCTTTTCGCTTCCCATCGCATTTTCTACAAATGTCGGCTCCCCGTTCTGTTTTGGATCCGTGAACAATGCAACATTAGCGAAAGGGTAACATAACCACTACCAAAAAAAACGTAGCAAAAGTGGAGAGGTCCCTCCTCCCTCGCTGTGGCAGGAGGGAGGAAAAAATGGGGTCTTGGAAACTATCACGGTGCTATATTTGGTGGCCCCTTGAAGTGGATTGGAAAGATCATACCCAAGGCGCGAAGCGAACAAGAGAAAGGAGATCGTTCCGGGTACGTTGAAAAAAAACAAAACAAGGGAGCCTAGGCCAAAAAAAGAAGAAGAAAAAAGGAAAAAAAAGGCCCGTTTCGATGTTTCCCCCGAGGAAAGTGACTGCCTCCCCTTGTCCCAGTCGCAAAAGAAAAGTAGAAAAAATCCCATGGTATGCCCAGAAATCACTAGTCTAACAGGTAAGAGCGCAGTGCGAATGTGGCGTCACGACAACACGAGTGCCTGTTGCAAATCGTGAGCACAATGACCCAGAACAGGTGCGCGCATAAGTGGGCGCAAGGTCCGTCAATGCATCCGAAGCATGGATACATTACATGATGGCGGATGGATAGATTGTCGGCGTCCTCCTCCTAATACGTCATCAAAAAGCTCCACCGTCGCCGTCGCCGCTTGGCCTCCAGTCCCTCCGCGTCGCGGGGAAGGATGACTTTGGCTGCGGCGGTGGCGACGCCGGCGTGCGACCGCGCTCCCGGCGGTGGCCGGACCTGCTGGGTCCGGCGTCGGCATCGGGCCTCTCGTGGTGGCGGGCAGACCCGCCGGACCTGCTGGTGGCGCCGGGCCTGACGGTGTCGGTCGAGTAGTTGCTGCCCTCGTCGCTATCGTAGCCGCCGTCACCGCCGGTCCTGCCGTCCCGCCGCTCGTATCGCCGGTCGGATCCGTGGGCCGGTTGGTCGTGGTGAGGCCGGTTCTGCTGCTGCTGCTGCTGCTGCGATCCGGAGGAGGAGGTCGAGCCCGACGTCAACGAGCGCCCGACGGTCCTGCATCTCTCGTGCGACCGGCCGAGCTGCTGGCGCACCTTCTCGCGGTGCATCTCGGTCCTCGACTTGTACTGGTGCTGCTCCTGCGACTCCGACACCCAGGCGTTTTGCGCCCTCTGCATCTCTGCCAGCTCCTCGGTCGTGGGGCTGGCGGCGGCGGCGGGACTCTGCATCTCAACCAGCTCCTCGGCCCTCGGGTCGGCGGCGGCGTCAACGACGTACGGGACGACGCGCGGGGAGCACATGTCCAGACTGTTGCTGCTGCTCCTCGTGCCGACGCCGCCCGGGGTCGCGACCCCGGTCGAGGAGCGGCGGCGGCGGCGGCGGCGGCGGTGGCGGTGG